CAGCGTTCCTCGTACAGTTTAAATGAGGAAATCTTTGTCAACTCGAGATCAGGCTCTGCAGATTATCGTTAAACGAAAAAAAATTCAAAATATTTGTGGGATGGCGGGTTTGTTATGACCTTTCCTGGTCCATTCCATCTTAGAAAAACATGGAATCTACTTCCAAAATGGCAGGGTAATCATTAAGATAATGGTCAGCAGAGGGGACATACCGCTTAATCTGAGCTCTGTGAAGAAATTCACACACAGATCTGGTAGGGGATCGATCACAGAACCTTCTGGCTGCAGAGTCCAGTGTCTTATCCCTAAACTAACAATTGTTAGCTACCACATTTACGCACTTATTAGCATAATTCCCTCTCATCTTGATATGTTCCTTGCAACTTTAGAACAAGAGGATAATTTAACACAGTATGAAATTAATCGTGTCAGAATTGAAATTACAGTGGACCCTTGTATTCATTGCCGTAAGCCTGACTGTATGCAGCCTCTCGTCTTCCGCACAAAATTCCCAGACAAGATTGCAAGAAAACATGAAAAACGTCTGAAAATACAACTGTTTCACAACTTTTTTTCCTTTGTATTTACAACATTGTAAACACATGTGAAATACAACTAACTGCAAGCAGTAAAGCCACTGTTTGTTAAATGGGCGTATATCAACCAACTAAGAAGCACAAGATACACAGACAATCTGATACGTTGGGAAACATTTATCAGGCGATTACAATTTTTGGAACTGGGAGAGTTTTATTTCTTGAGAAAGTGCCGGAAAAAATATTAGCGTATTTCAGAAATGAAACTTTTTTGTATCTAACTAGGGGGAGTGGTTTTATGATTAATAAGCCTCGCGTAATTTCAGACAAGTTAAGAGGCAGAGACGGGAAACTCGATGAGAAACTTAAATTGCAGAGCGGAATGAGACATGTCCTTCACAAAAGCACTCACAGTGTCGCCTTACATTCAGCAGACTGAATAGGCTACACTTTAAAGCAATCCACAGGAGTAAGTCTTATCCACGTACAAGTTAGGCCTGTTCTTACGACATTCAAATACCCTTATCAGCTCAGGAAGTAATTGTTAATTCTGAGGCTATTCAACGACAGTGATCCAACTGCAAAAGTACATAAAATCGAATGAAAGAGGAAGACGAAGATAAATTTACGTTTCTCAAAGTGTAAGCGCGGCTCACTAGGCGGTCTTAAAGAGTTTTCGGAGAGACTAATTATCTAATTATAATATATATGAATTTGAAAAGAACGAGCCACATTAAACCATATGCATACAATTACTTCAAAAAGTACTTCAAACATGCATACATTTTAAGGTTCATTAGTAATTACTTTATGGTTCTAGCAGTCAAATCAGGATTGAGTATAAATTGTGCAGAGACTGTGGGCTGGTCACTCACTACTCACAAAATGACCCACAACTGGGCTGTAGAGCCAAGAGAGAAATTACTTTATGGCACTGGTATATAATATTTTAATCAGTTTTATAGGTTGGGGGCCTCAGATTATATTTTGTGTTCTTTGCACGGTGATTATGGTTATCTGTCCGATGTTGGATAAAATTTCGTACGGGCATTATTCCACGGGGGGGACTATCCTAAAACTGCAGTTATCAATTTGCCAAAATCAGTAATATCAACATGGCGGACAAACAAACTTAAGAGCTGGGATTTACATTAGCGCCACTTGAAGTAGAGTCATACATGTATGGTTTAATTTTCTGTAAACATCAAACTCTAGTTTTCTAATACTTTGTATAATGTAAAATAGCACAATAGCTGCATGAACAAAAATTTATTCGATCAGGATTTGATCCCGTGACTCCAGGCGTTCAGTCCACATAGCTACAGCGCCTTAAGACGTTCTGATATTGATTTAATTAAGACCACATGATTTGCATAGTTTGAGGCTGAAGTTGTCCGAGTGAAACGACTACCTTATTATTAAAATTAGAATTTGCGAAGGACGCGATTTCGCCTTTCCAGTCTTGTTAACATGAAAGGACGACACATTAAGGAGAGTGCAACGCCTAATAGCGTACTTCCTGCAGATGTTATATCGATATAAGATTTCAATGCGATATTCTTACCAAAACGTATTCATAGTCAAATACTGTCACGCTGGCAAGTATGCCATTATAAAAAAATATGCTTACCCAGCGTGATAAAATGTGCACACACAATCTTGAAACATCAGTAGTAAGATAAGAAATGCTTAACAATGGTTAATTTTAGATGTTCTGTTGCCAAGACGGTACAAATTCGTGAAGGACAAACATGTCTTCTGGTCGATGTTAACCAACGTTTCAGAGGTCATACTGCCTCCGTCATCAGGGCGATGAATGTGCCAATTGGATGGAGGGGGGGCTAGGTTTATCCATTCAATTGGCACATTCATCGCCCTGATGACGGAGGCAGTATGACCTCTGAAACGTTGGTTAACATCGACCAGAAGACAGAAATCTTCGTACCCACCGCTGTGAAAACGCCAAATCTTACATGCAACCAGGACTTCGCAATATCGACCATGGATGACAGATAGTAGTCTGATTAAACGGCTTCTCGTCGTAGTGAAACGCCCACGCTATGAAAACTTCTTAGTTTCTTTCTCTTTCTACACTTAGAGATATTTATCACACGTGGCTCAGAAATTCTTTTAAGCAACATGCATCAATACCACACTTCCAGAAACGCTCACTGAACAAGGTTTCTCGACCTGTAGTTATCATGTAAGATCTACGCTGGCGTGTACATGTTGATTTCAAAGGCTGTCTGTATTAACAGGGTGGAGCAAATCTTTCAAAACTTTACTTCAGCTTCCTGGAAGCATTGGGTGGGCTGCAGAGAGCGCGAATGACCTGGAAGGCAAGGGGCTACCACCGCTGCACCTGGCGACCAACAACTTGTCAAACGCAAACACACTTTCACGTGAAACTGTGTAATCGTTGAAAAATTCTTTAGATGTCTGTGACAACGGCTGATTCATTACACAACTGTTGGAGTTTGTCAATTGTTTGAGGTATATTTATTTAACACGAAGATTCGAGAGTTGCCTGTTGGCAACTGGTTATAATTACAATGACTAAACACGTTTTCTGTTCTTATTTTGAACATCAATTACGGCGGTTGAGATCAAACCAGGAAACATAACGCTCCCATTTTGTAATTTCACCCGTGTTGTTGTTCCGATGAAATACCGATATATCAGCTTCTTAGTAAACATGTTCTTTGATGATCATATTCTTTTTTTGGTGAGATTTAAGGTCCTCACGACGTCGAGGGAAGACGACTGTCTTTATGGGATATTGCGCCGTGTAGTCTGGTAGAAGTTTGGGCTTACCGACTTTTTCAGAGGCGCTTTCTATCTCCACGATCTGGGAGATCGCCCTTCTACAGACTACACAGCGTAATGTCCAAGCAGACAGTCATCTTCATTTTATCTTCTACTTTTAAATTACATATTTTAAGAAGTTGGCCTGGTGTTTACTGAGCAATCAGTGATACAAGTTTCGAGCGAGTTTCCCGCATTTCCTTACACGTTCAGAGGGAATGCTGTATAAAATACAGTTCGTTATTACCTGAGCCTAACTTTATGTATTAGACTTTCTTAATACGCAGAGAAATATGGCATTATCAAGGCAAGGTCTTCTTGTTAACAGTTGTTCTCAGAGGTGCGATAATTGTCCTGATGACGGACGCAGCAATCACCTCTGAAACGTCGATTAAATTCCACAGGACTACACAACACAACATTCCAGAAGACATCTTCATTCTCGCCGCCGTGAGAATCTGATATCTCCCTCATAAGGAATTAACAACTACCGATTTCGTAGTTTCTGGGGAGAATGCATTCTTTGTAACTCAGTTCTTAGCATTAATTGTTTCTTCCACCTCTCTTTGCTTGTAGAAACACGTGGCTGAATGCTCTGTTTTTCAGATACTATATTATTCCTTCATTGGAACTTTGCAGATGAGTGAAGCCGTACTGCCCCCCATGTGAGTCTGTTTTCCGTAAAATCGTATTGAACTTTTGGAAAGTATTTTACTTCTGTCCGCAAGTTCAGGAGTACGTAGGAGGACTCAAAATAGGACCTTAAGGAAATATGGTGGGAGTGAGTGGACTAGATTCATGTGACTTTCAGGCCAGTCCGCCCTTCCTTAGTGTTACGAAGTCCATTGTCATTCCGTCTGTTTGTTAGTACAACTCGTCGACTTGAAAGTAGGTCTTCCATCAAGCAGAGACCTAGATGCTCCATTATTGCATCCACAGTAAGGATCACCGTCAGGTAAATTTCCATCTTCTTACAGGATCTATCAGCATCGAATGGGGCATACAATGAGAGACCCCTGAAGACGCGAGTAGACATTTCCGAATTGCCGTGTATATAAAACATAATGGGCAACATCCAACATAAATACAGTAGAAAGAACGTAACGCGAAAGCTGCACATTTTCTCGTGGACCCAACTTTCATGGTTTTATTAGATCTCCAAAGGCGAAAATACTGGGATAGTCGTTTATCTTCAAATAGGCCACGACTGTTTCCTTCCAATTCCTAACCTTTTACCATTCATGCTCAACTTCATCCTATACTTTATAACCTCTGCAGTTAAAATAGCGTCGTTAAATGTCATCCCATGATTACTTCTACTGATAGGCTACTACTACGACTTCTTGCTGTTGTTGTTGTTGTTCTTATTATTATTAATTCATGATTACTGTAATCCATTGCAGGCAACGATGTATTTTGGTATGACAATAAATAAAACTGATATGAAAAGGGGGGAGAAAATGAAGTCATCTAACCACACGAAACTTACCAAACCAACACTTAATTACATGTGAACTGAACTCCAAATTTACACAACACATCGATTTCTTTCCTATCAAACACCACGGACCAAGAAAATGTACTAGTTACTATGGCAACACCCCCTGCATACAAGGCAGGGCATATGAAAAGGGGATAAACACCCTCCTTTCGACTTACCCTTGAATCAGACGACGGTTGCAGTTCAAGCGATACCTAATTATGTCTCGACAGTCTAGAGCTGACCACACCCGATGACTACAAACAAAAGAAACGACACAAAATTACATGGCGACAAACTACAGCTCGGACGTTCTGTCGCGAGATAAGACTCCAAGTCCTAAAACGGCTAACGAGATTATCTTCAAAAACAGAAATTACCAGACAAAGATTAGCTTTCACGATATCTCTCAGATAGATAATGTATCTGATGACAACTTATTGGTAATAAGATGGCTGTCTGCTGGGTTGTTGAGCCATATATTCTGGTAGAAGTTTACTGACGTTTCAGAGGTCTTTGCTGCCTCCATCATCATGGAAATCGCCCAGAAGACAAGCCATCTTCGTACTCACCGTTGAGAACCTCAATCCTACCAAGCATAATTTTTACAAGGAGAAAAAGAACAGGTCTTCTAACACTAAGTTACACATTGAAGTTAAATTCAAGATCAACAGTTTCAATGTTATCATCAAGAATGGAAAGGTCTCAAGCACAGTGGCACTGTAATATTTTGAAGATAAATTATACACGTAAAAGGGCAAATTTAATGACGGGCCTGCCATTTTTCTTCCATATCATAAAATTTCCTCGTTTCTACTCGACTGAAGGCATAGCCATTACCAGCACTGCATAGGGTTTACCGCAAACATAGCTACTTTTTATCGGCGGTGAATGCGAGACCATATCCGCTTTGACTTAGGAAGTTACGGACAGTTTTACAGGAATACGCCACTGTTTACAGTGACGGTTTAGCATAGACAATGTACTGAAGACGAGATAAACAAGTAAATAACTGGGTTTCTGTTTGCACAACTTTTTAACGAAACGTAAAAATCAAACACTTTAAACAAACTTGAAATTTACGAAGATCTTATTTACAACAACGTTTTACTTTTTCGTTAGGAGAAGGCCAATACCTTTAGACGATTATTAACTTCTGTTAAAAATGGTCGGTAATAGAAATCAAACAACGCTTGATGTAATTATATAAAGCACATATAAACTACTTGGTATACGCTAAAATTTTGTGAGGAAGTACCTCGTAATAGATTCAAAAGTAGCTCATTTTTAATCATCGTTTTTATTACGTTAAACGTGTTGACTACAGTCCAATACTGAACAGCAAACTAAGCGAACCTAAATTTACCAACATATATTTTAAATTATGATGACCTACAGCCATAAAATCATTCTATAATAAAAAAAAATATGTGGTCACTTGTTTTCAAGAAGCTGCAAATTTTATTATTGGCGAGGAGATTAAATCACACTTAAAAGCAATGAATGTTGTTATAGTTCACTGTAATATAAGGTACGTTTGAAACTGCTGGATTGCCTAGAAACTGAATAAAGACTTAAGAACATTTCCGAAAATAACATTAATTTTTTGGATAAATGTAGTTGAGTGCATAGTAAATTATGGATTCTCTTTTATTTCTGTCGAAGGTGAAGAGGTCACTCGGTTACATTCTGTAAATTACCTTCCCAGTGGCTAGATCTACAAAAAAAAGTACAAAATAATCGTTTCTATTACATTTTGCTACAGCAACGCTACTTTATCCTCGTAACGTTTCATACGTGCGTACATGTTACCGAAATACTAACAGATTCATAAGGAAGCCAATAATCGCTCAGTTAGTTAACTTCTGAAACCCGAAGGTTCACTATAGCATTCATAAGAGGTCCGCCCTAGATACCATCCTAGAGCAGATAAATCCAGTCCACATTCTCAGACTCCAGTATTTATGATTCATTTTAGTATTATCCTCTCATGTACGTCTAAGGCCTCCCTAGTGGTACATTCTCTTCAAGCCATCCGTTATTATTCATAAATCACAATTCATACAGCCCCTTCCAAGAAACTAGGTTCAAAATAGAGCCTATTGCTACCCAGGGGAATAGATCAATATGGTCTATAAATCATAAGAGCCTCTGTATGATGTGATATAAAACAAGAAGACGTTTTCCACAAGTTTTTGCCCGCTTACAGTCATGGTATTGCTGTGACAAAAATACAACACATCACCTATATCCAATGAAACTTCTGTCGGATTCATACAGACGCAGTCCGTATCTACTTTTATAGGGCAGACTGTACATAAATTAGAAGGCCAGATGTTAATCTCAGTCGAATCTGCAGAGAATCAAAGTGTAGAACTGTCTACTTACAAGCTATAGTTAGAACAGGAGATGGGGCGAGTAATTAAATCAGATGGTCCTGTCAGCGAGGATGTGGGAGCGAGGGTTTTGACCCGCAAAACATGCGCGCACATGGACTCCACGTTCAAGCTTTGTCGCCTCATCCGATAATAAAAGTCACCCGACCGGATTGGTAGTACGAAAAGTAAGATGTCTCCTTCCTGATTCATACATTTTACATTCATGTAATGAGTATGGATTCTTTTAGTCACAAAAATGTCGGATCAACGGTGTTAAAAACAATTATACCAGCTACTGCGGCACAGTGTTAAAAGATTTAAGAATACATTTTAAGCATCCATTTATGTCATGAACAGTTACATAAAATATGTATACAAAGACTGGAGAAATACAATTCTTATGATAAGCAGTCGTGTCTCATACGCGTGTAATCATGAAATCGCCCTACTCTTTCATGGTCACTGCCTCGTAAACATTAACGTCTCGTTAATAGAGACAACTTCACCGAAGTACCGGCGAGGACAAGCGGCCGTGTATCTAACTAACTAACTAGATGGCTTACCGAATGTTCATCACCGAATTAACCAAAGCCCTCCACCGGACCCTGTCCTATGCCAACAAAATCCAGTCTCCTTCAACTCCTATCTCCCATAGATCCCGCCTGAGATTATCCTCCCATCTACGTCTAGGTCTCCCCAGCGGTCTCTTCCCTTCAGGTTTCCCAACCAGTACCCGGTGCACACCTCTTGTCCCATCCATGCGCGCTACATGCCCAGCCCATCTCATTCTTCTCGACTTAATCACCCTGACAATATTGGGGGAGGAGTACAGATTTTTAAGCTCATCATTATGCAGTTTTCTCCAATCCCCATCGTCTTCCCTCTTAGGCCCAAATATCCTCCTCAACACCCTATTCTCAAACACCTGCAATCTGTGTTCCTCCCTCTGAGAGAGAGACCATGTTTCGCACTCATACAAAACAACAGGCAAGATTATTGTTTTGTATACTTTAATTTTCAGGTTCTTAGAACTTCGTCATGAGTATCATTTTGAGCGCCCGTATATCTCCAAGGAAAAGTGCCCATCGTTGTTGTCCGATTTAAACCAAAACCGATACGACAAATTTTAGTAAAACTCCCCAATATCAAATTTCATGAAGATCCGTTTAGCCCTCCACAAATTCTTTCATGTGACAGAACGACAGACAGACACAAACAGAGGAAGCGATTTACTCCGGAATGACGAGAACGCGCCTCGAAAGTACTTCAGTATGCGACGTTCACTATACACTAAGCCGCTGACAAAATGAAAAACGTTCTGCTTCGTGTGTAATACCAAGGGGATGTTATTCAAGGTTATAAAGATAAGCTATGCGTCTCTAACAAGAAGAATGCTGAGCGAAGGGTGCATAGTAAAAAGCGGCTCCACTGACTGATCAATCGTTTTAACTCGTAAAATGAGGGCAGACTCAATCCTGAAGAACCGTCGAACTCAAGTAAGGTAACCATATTCTGACAGAACTGACGAAAACCGCTGAATTTGTTTCTCGGTAAATAATGCCACAAACCGTTTTAAATTAGCAATGCCCGCAGGATGCCTAATGCATTAAATAATGCCGAACAAGAAACGTCCGAAAGTTCCCAATTAGCATCTTCTGAATATCTTATGTCCACTCTGTGACAGTGGGTAAGCCGTGATTCTTTGTTGCCTCATTCTTCCGAACAAAGAAATTTTACGTCTTATTTTCATGTTCCTTAGGGACTCAAGAGTTGTAAAAATACGCCTTTTTGCTCCCCCCCCCCGTCTGTCCGTCAGGCCGTCTATCGGTTTGTCGGCACGTAACAATTTCAGAACCGTTGAACAGATTTTCATAAAATTTTACGTTAGAGTTCTACTAAAATTTGTACATTTATTAATATTGTGGTTAAAAACGGACACTTCATAATTAAGGTCTATATGCACCTGACGAAAAACCTTGCTCCTAGTACCAAGGTCAACAGTCGTTAGCTCAAGGTCGTTGGTGATACACGGGTCACCGGTTCAAGGCCGATGGTTCCATACCAAACATCACTTGACCATAGGCCCAAAGTCACTCGTTCCCGACCACTTGCTCAAGAACCAAAGCAAAAGTCCAGCTTCAAGGTCATTTGTCCCGAAAGACATCAGTCACAAATGCGGCCGTGGCCTAATTTAAGGTACTATCTAGGCATTTGCATAGACGGACTGAGGAAAGCCACGAAAGAACTCAGTGAGGATAGTCCGCACCAGGCCGAGATTTGAATCCGGTATCTTCCGAATACGAAGCACGAGTTCAACATCATTACAAATTCCATGCGATTTATCAGACTTTATATGCACCAACGCATTCAGGATTAAACTCTGCATGGGCTACGTCTATCCCATGGAACTTTCGCATTACACCTTTCAAAGTTCTGCTAGTCAGAATCTCAACTAGTGAAAATATAAATGGACCATTAATTTTGTAATCGTTAATTTACACTAGTCTCGAAACATAAACTAAGGGATCTGATAGAACACAGACGTCTCATGTTCTTCCCAGAACTTTTTGTTTTATCTCAGTAATAAAAACGAGTTTTTACTAACAACTCGCAAATCCTGGTTTTCCTTCTGATTCAAATGAAATTCTGGACAGGGTTTCAGGCTGCTCAAGCCACTACAAATAACGTTGCTTGTTGATTTATAAATTTCAGTCACTCATAAATAACGTTTTCATGACTGGATAATTTGTATGTAATTCGTTTGATGTAATAGCATAATATACATTATGTAACAACCAAAGGTCGTTCCTACACTGACTGACTCATAATAAAAACAACTTGCTCACCTCGTGTACGAGGTAACCTAACCGCTTTCGCTT